AACCCTAACCGCCCTACGCGTCGCGCGCCCCCTCGCCATTCCTAGTCCTTGTCGCGCGCGGTAATGCGTGCGCGCCATCCCCACGCGTCGTCCCTTGCCAGCGCTGCTCGACCGCGTGTCCACGCTCGCGCGTCGTCACCAACCGCGCGAGTGCTTCGCACTCCCGCTCGCACGGCCTCACCTCCTCGCTCGTCCACCGTGTTGGTCGCGTCCCAGCCACGTACGCGTGTGTCGCGCACGACCGCTCATCGCCCTCGTCGATCCACTCGACCAACGCCTCGCGCGTGGTTTCCGTCATCGCACCCTTCGCGCATTCGTCCATCGGGCTCATCGAGACACCCCAATCCTCTCGCGTGTCCGTGCCATCGCAGCCATCCCAAGTGCACGCTGTCCACCCTACATCCTCCCCTCGTGCACCATTATCCCTAGCTCGCATTCGTCGTGCGCGTCGATCTCTTGCGCACGCCTTACACCAATCACCCACCTTACCGGGCACAATCGCCTCACTCTCGTCGTCGGCCCATGCCTCGTGCTCGTGCGCACTACTCGTCGCGCATCTCTTCTTTACCCGGCCTAGACTCGCACGTCCGCGGCTCGGCTGCTGCGTCCCATCAGTTTACGCGCCTTAGTGCGTGCGCACACCCTCTTTGCCCGTGCCCGAGCCCTTTCTCGCCTAACCACTCGCCATCTCTCGAGGCCATCGTGGTTCTCGTCCTCGGGTTCGCCGGGGTCAATGACCACATCCGCATCATTCTCGCCCTCTTCGAGAATTTCCTTGTCCTCAAGCATAAAGTAATTGATCTCGTCTAGTTCTTCAGGCTCTTCTCCTGGGTCCTCGGTTAGCAGCTTAATTCGCTTGTGGGCTCGTCCAAATGTCATAGTGCCCCTCTTGTAGTTAGTCGTCACAGATCCCAATGTCTCGAGCCATTGAACTCCAAGTACTATGTCTGGTCCCGTCAAAGGTAAGGCATAAAGATCAGCCTTCAAGTCATAGCCTTGTGCAAATATGGGAACACCTTTGTACAGCTCGAAACTTTTGAGTTCATCTCCGTTTGCAACCTTCACTCCAAACTGCTTTATGTTTGTCACTGGCGTCTTTAACCCTTTGGACAGCTCCTTATCTATGAAGTTCAGCGTTGAACCGCTGTCCACTAGCACTTCAAGCTCTTCGCCTTGTACTATTGCAGTGAACCGTATCATCCTTGGACCTCTCTCAGCATCCCTTTTCTTTCTTTTGATCACATGTAGCAAGGTCTCCTTACGCTCCACATGTTCGTACTCCTCACGTTCTGGCTCATCCTCATCGAACTCAAGCAAGAATACTTGCTTTCCAGCACATCTATGGCCCGGTGTGAACTTCTCATTGCAAGTGAAGCATAAGCCTCTCTCGCGTCTTCGTTGGATCTCCTCAGTCGTAAGCCGTCGCATGTGGCTCGTGGTTCGCACGCCATCTTCGGTTGGTTTGGGCTCGACCCGTGTGGGCGTCTCGTCGGTCGCGGTACTAGTGCGCCGCTGGTCCGTGCGTCCCTCACCCTTGCTGGCCTTGCGCATCGCAACCAAATGGTCGTCGCGTAGCCGTGCCGACTCTATTGCCGCTCGAGTTGTACGCGGCCTATCCAATCGCACCTCAGCCACTAGCTCGGCCTTAAGTCCTCCAATGAATGCGCCTACCAATGCGCTCTCGGGCCAATCTCGCACCCGACTTGCAATGCGCTCAAAATCTTTTTGGTAGTCTCGGAGGCTACCGTTTTGACGAATTCGGGAGAGCGCCTCGTCATAGTCGTAGTAGTCACTCGTGCTAAATCGTGTGACCAACTCTTTCTCAAAATCTCTCCACCGAATTTCCTCGCCCCTGGTCTTGTACACATGTGACATCCATTGCCACCATGTGTTCGCTTCACCATCGAGATGATAAGCGGCGATCTTGACTCGCTCGGACTTGTGCACCTCGTTGATCTCGAAAAATTGCATGGCTCGATTTAACCAAGCGTCCGGGTCGGTCCCCGTAAACGTAGGCATCGTGAGCTTTGGTCGTGCATAGCCTCGGTCGTCGTGGTGGTGCATCGCGCGTGATGCGCGGGTCCTCCGTGATCGTCCGTCGTCGTCGTCGTGGTCGGTCCCGGGGCTGCTCGATGCCGCGGTCGATCGCGAGGTGTGACTCCGTCGCGGTCGGCGTGTCATGCGCGTGAGTTGCCCGGCCAGATCATGCACCATGAGCTCGAGTTTAGCGAAATTCTCATTGACAAGGTGTTGGCCATTGCCGATGGACTTCACACTCTCCTCCAAGGCTTCGATCCTCTCCTTGTGTGTCATCATCTCGGCTCTCTCTCTTTTTTTTTGTTATTTTGATACTCTCGAAAAAATTCGAAACGAAAGAAAATAGAATGGGGAAGAAAAAGTTCAACCCAACACACGATCAATCACTCTCAATGAAAGCACCAATGATGAAGGATCGTGTGTTACGTCTAGCTCGACTTGCTCGAAACGCGCGCCGACGCCTTGGTCCCTTCGCAATAAGTTGCTAATACGCGCGCCGACGCCTTCGTACTTCGCGATAGGTGTGACAAAACTCGAATGTTGGTCCTATTTCCATCACTGTGAAGAAACTCGGATGTTGGTCCTATTCCATTCACGAACTCTATGTAAACTCACAGGAGAAAACACACGAGAACTTTGAACACAATGTTCGACTCTTTTCTATTCACTCATCAACCATATTTTCGAATGGTACATAGGTGGGTATTTATAGATACCAACTAGATCTAATCCTAGTCTAAATAGAACTCCTAATCTATGCAAGTAAATAATTCCTAATGCAACTAAACATATAGGAAATATGGACTTTCCCAACAATTAAAAGACTAATAGGAAACTAATAGGCACATGCCTTTTATTTGGATTCCTAACCAAACTATGACTCCTAACTAAGCTAAGTAAATCACGTCCATATCCATTGCTTGCACCCAAAGTCGCGCGCGCCCCAAAACCCTAACCGCCCTACGCGTCGCGCGCCCCCTCGCCATTCCTAGTCCTTGTCGCGCGCGGTAATGCGCGCGCGCCATCCCCACGCGTCGTCCCTTGCCAGCGCTGCTCGACCGCGTGTCCCCGCTCGCGCGTCGTCACCAACCGCGTGAGTGCTTCGCACTCCCGCTCGCACGGCCTCACCTCCTCGCTCGTCCACCGTGTTGGTCGCGTCCCAGCCACGTACGCGTGTGTCGCGCACGACCGCTTCATCGCCCTCGTCGATCCACTCGACCAACGCCTCGCGCGTGGTTTCTGTCATCGCACCCTTCGCGCATTCGTCCATCGGGCTCATCGCGACACCCCAATCCTCTCGCGTGTCCGTGCCATCGCAGCCATCCCAAGTGCACGTTGTCCACCCTACATCCTCCCCTCGTGCACCATTATCCCTAGCTCGCATTCGTCGTGCGCGTCGATCTCTTGCGCACGCCTTGCACCAATCACCCACCTTACCGGGCACGATCGCCTCACTCTCGTCGTCGGCCCATGCCTCGTGCTCGTGCGCACTACTCGTCGCGCATCTCTTCTTTACCCGGCCTAGACTCGCACGTCCGCGGCTCGGCTGCTGCGTCCCATCAGTTTACGCGCCTTAGTGCGTGCGCACACCCTCTTTGCCCGTGCCCGAGCCCTTTCTCGCCTAACCACTCGCCATCTCTCGAGGCCATCGTGGTTCTCGTCCTCGGGTTCGCCGGGGTCAATGACCACATCCGCATCATTCTCGCCCTCTTCGAGAATTTCCTTGTCCTCAAGCATAAAGTAATTGATCTCGTCTAGTTCTTCAGGCTCTTCTCCTGGGTCCTCGGTTAGCAGCTTAATTCGCTTGTGGGCTCGTCCAAATGTCATAGTGCCCCTCTTGTAGTTAGTCGTCACAGATCCCAATGTCTCGAGCCATTGAACTCCAAGTACTATGTCTGGTCCCGTCAAAGGTAAGGCAAACGAATCAAACATGAATATTTACACAGCAATCAATCGTCACCTCCAACTCCCAACCCGCAACTCAATATCTTCATCACGAGGTTAACAAGAAAATTCAATTAAGGCTCAAAGGGGATGACTAGCGATTATTATTCTCGACAAGGAAAAAGGAAAAGAGAGTACAAGAAATGCCTCAATCATATTCACGTCACATCAATCCAATCCAATTATTTCAAAGCAGTCTCAAGGCAAATTCTAATTAACAAGATTCAGACCAATATCACACAAGAAACAATAAGGCTCAAACCTCACAAGGTAAATATGTTCCTCAACACAACGAAGCCAATCAATTAAAGATATATTACTCGTGCTCATCATCACATCTTCTCAATTAAACCAACGATTCTCAAAAAGCTTTGCAATACACCAATGTCCAGACTCTGAAAACACACAGAAACCTAAAAACTACCGGACCACATAATCACGTAAAACTCCCCCACACTGAAAACCAGACAATGTCCCCATTGTCAAGTCGCGGTGAAGGAGAGTTAGACCAAAGAACAGACCGACGCAAAAACAAAAAACAAAGAAGCTGTACACAAATAAAAAGAGAAAGGGAAAAAGAGAACATACAAAGCACAGTGACAAGTCACTGTGCATCCGGAGGTGATGGTGGCTGGTGAGGGTGATTGGGACCCGAACCCCAACGGGCGTCCCACTGAGTGAAGCGCTGGTCCCAGCTGTCCAGCCGAGCATCCTGTTGGTCCTGCCGCTCGCGGATCGACTGGAGGCCGCCAGCGAAAGTGTCGAACTGGGTACCCATCTGAGTCCAGTGGGTCTGCTGCCGTGTCTCCCACTGGTCCCATCGAGTGTTCTGCTGTGCCTCCCAGCTGGTCCACTGCGTGGTCTGTCGGCTCTCGAGGGCAGCCCATCTGCTGTCCTGGGCGTCAAAGCGATCGTGGATCGAGCGTATATCGGCGGTGTACTGAATCTGAAAAGTGGACCACCATGTCGGTGGCTGCTGCTGAGGAATCTCCGGGTGAGAGTTTGGCGCCGGCGTCCAGTCAGGTGGAGGAGGAAGTAAATGGTCCTCGTCGATATTCATCTGCTCATGCGCGTCCTCCGTCGGTTGCCGAGACGACCCAGCCGGATCGGAATTAGGCTGACCCTGCTGGAGCTTTTTGAAATAGGTCTCGTAGGCAGCACGTTTCGTATACTCCTTAGCTGTTCGCCGGTTCAGAATAAGGTCAGCCTGCTTGAGCTCGTTAAAGTTGATACACCGCATCTCAGACATGTCTTGACGCGCCATCTCCCCATGTAGTCTGTAAGCTTCTGGAGTGACGTCAAAGTGGTGAGCGAGTGCGGTAACAAAATGCCCGAGCGCCGGAAGTCCACGCTTGGAGAGGGCAATCTCCTGGAAAGAGTTCTGAAGGAAGGTCATGGAACACACTCGCACTCCAGACCGCATCGCCCAGAGGAGAAAAAGCTCACCCTCACTGACTTTGTTCGCTTCCTTTTTGCCGGTGATATTGTAGCAAATGAACCGGTGCACAACGGCGGTGGCCAGGTCTTGGATAAGCCCGTTGGACATACCAGCGGAATCCCACGTCGTATGCGGGGAGAGCGCGGCCCAACTCTTCTGGGGATCAAAATCGGCGGCTTTGCTTCGTGTACCGGCGAAGTTGAATCCGCAAACCGCCTTCATCACGGCATTGTCAACCACGAGTTCCCGTCCCTTAAGCCGACAAGTGAAGAAGTCGTTCCCATCGGCGAGAACGAAAGAACTGTAGAACTCAAGCATAAGGGTCCTGTACGACCTCTCCTCAATCTTCGCGTAGTCGGTTAAGTTCAAGACCTTGAGGTACTTCATCACATCCTCCAGGATACCCAACTCGGTCAAAAGGTCCCAGTCCACCGCCTTCGGTCTCACGACCTCTTTTTGCGAGAGTCGGGCATAAATCTCGCCCTCCTTCCGAGAGTAAATCGGGAACGGGGCCCCGTATTGATCCGAAAGATCATCTCGTGCACCTTCCGGAGGGGCGTCACGAGAGGAAGATTCGCCCGCTTGACGCTTCGTAGGCGGTTCTTGAGTGGATTTCTTCTTCGTGGGACGAAATGGATTCTTTCCCATTTGAGCGGTCTATCGAACAATATATCGAACACGTGGCGTGCGGTAATTTGAACTAAAAGCTTGTGAGCAATTTGAAATGGCTCGCTCTCGGAGGTGGCCTCCTCACGCCTCAACACCCAACTCACTTCAAGAAAAGGAAGATATCGGTACCTTGTCGCAAGAAGACGAACCCGAAACGAACAATCCACGAGCAAGACAAAGGTGGACGGAATAAGAACCGTCGATGCTCGTGGTCGTGGGTCGCCGGATGACTGAGGAGGAGATGGTCGGAGAGAGTCGCCGGAGAGACGCCGGAGAGGTTATGGCGACGGTGATGGCGTGGGTTGAAGGAGGCGCTAGGGTTCAGAGTGGCCGCGCGTGGTGTACAAGAGAGTAGAGGGGGATTATGTCGCCGGAATCGCGGGGTGCCGGAGGGACGTCGCCGGGAATTGGATGGTCGGCGGTGGTTGTCGGGCGACCGGAGGCGAGGTGCGGTGAGGAGAGATGAGAAAGTTCGCTTGTGCCGTTCGAAATTTGGGAAGGAGAGTTATGGTGTGCCAAATACCAAGCTAGGGTATAAGTTGATCCGTCGCGGGCGTCGCGGCCGCGACATATCCCGCGGCCGCGAGATTGTTGATGCTGAAATGAGGAGTTTGCGCCAGAATCATCGCCGCGGCCGCGGCGAATAAACATCCCGCGGCCGCGACCTTACGCCACGGTCGCGAGGTAGCTCCATGGCCGCGAGAGTTTGGATGCAGGACGTGAGCCAACGGACCGAGAAAACGTCTCCGCGGCCGCGACGAATGAAAGCCTCGCGGCCGCGACCACGCTCCGCGGTCGCGGGAGTTCTCCGAGGCCGCGAACATCCACCTGCAGAAAATCGTGTGAAGAGCAGAAATATGGTCGCCGCGGCCGCGGCGAAGGAAAATCCCGCGGCCCGCGGCGACAATTTGTACAAGAATAGGCTCGGTTTATCGCCGGGAGCTCGGCACTAGTCTGGATCAAGGATACAGTGGCTCGTCGAGACTGATAGTCTCGACATGATTCTTTTCGAATTCTCCTTCGAAATAAGGCTTGACCCTTTGCCCATTGACTACGAATAACTCGCCATTCGCTGGATTTCGAAGTCGAACAGCTCCAAGTGATAACACCTCATCGATAAGATACGGCCCGCTCCACCGTGATTTGAGCTTTCCCGGAAAGAGACGAAGTCGGGAGTTGAATAAGAGGACTTTCATACCAGGCACTAAGTTCTTCCGGACAATGGTCGCGTCGTGAAGCTTCTTAACTTTGTCCTTGTAAATTTTGGAGTTCTCGTAAGCCTCGTTCCTCAACTCCTCAAGTTCTGACAGTTGCCACATCCGCTCACGTCCGGCTGCATCAAGGTCAAAATTCATCCGCTTTATTGCCCAAAAAGCTTTGTGCTCGATTTCGACTGGAAGGTGGCACGCCTTCCCGTAGACTAGCCGGAACGGGCTCATCCCCAAGACTCCCTTGTAAGCTGTGCGTTGGGCCCATAATGCATCATTAAGACGACTGGACCAATCTTTCCTAGACGAGTTCACCGTCTTCTCAAGAATAGTCTTGATCTGCTTGTTGCTCGTTTCTGCTTGCCCAGAAGTTTGCGGATGGTATGGGGTGGCGACTTTATGTGAAATGCCGTATTTCTTCATCAGCTTCTCGAATATCCGGTTGCAAAAATGCTTGCCCCCGTCACTCACAATAGCCCGCGGAAACCCAAACCTGCTCAACACATGACCTTGCAAAAACTTGACAACCACATTAGCATCACACGTCCTTGTGGGGATAGCCTCAACCCACTTGGACACGTAATCTACAGCAAGAAGTATATACTCAAAGCCAAAAGACTTGGGAAATGGTCCCATAAAATCAATGCCCCATACATCAAAGATTTCCACTTGAACATTGTTAACTAAGGGCATTTCATTCCTAGAACTAATATTCCCAATTCTTTGACAACGGTCACAAGATTTACAAAAGTTATGAGCATCTTTAAAGAGAGTAGGCCAGAATAAACCTGATTGGAGAACTTTGAGAGTGGTTTTCCTCCCTCCAAAATGGCCTCCACATTGGAACTCGTGGCAAAAAGCGAGAACATCTGCTTGTTCTTCTTCGGGCACACACCTCCGAAGGATTTCATCTTTTCCCACTTTGAAAAGGAATGGGTCCTCCCAAAAATAACTCCTGCACATCAAAACAAAGCGTTTCCTCTCTTGGGAAGAGAGGTTAGACAACAATATTCCACACGACAAGTAGTTCACAATGTCTGCATACCAAGGAATAGTAGTCACTTCACTAACATGCTCATAAGGAAAATTATCATTCACACCAACACGTTCATGCAATGTAAGTGAAGAATCAGAAGGAACAATGCGAGACAAGTGATCAGCAACAACATTCTCACATCCTTTTCTATCACGAATTTCTACATCAAACTCTTGCAGCAGTAAAATCCACCGAATAAGTCTAGGTTTCGATTGAGTCTTACTCAAGAGATACCTAAGAGCCGCATGATCAGAATGAACAATCACCTTAGATCCCAAAATGTAAGATCTAAATTTTTCAAGAGAAAATATCACGGCTAAAAGCTCTTTTTCGGTGGTGGTATAGTTCAATTGGGCACCGTTTAAGGTCAAACTAGCATAATAAATTACACGAAGTAACTTATCAACTCGTTGACCCAAGACGGCTCCAACAGCAAGGTTTGAAGCATCACACATAATCTCAAAAGGCAACGACCAATCAGGAGCAATAACAATAGGTGCCGTCACAAGCTTATTTTTCAATTTACCAAAAGCATCTACACATGCATCATCAAACACAAAAGGCACATCATTAGCAAGCAAGTGACACAAAGGCTGGCTTATTTTCGAAAAATCTTTAATAAATCGCCTATAGAAACCAGCATGACCCAAAAAACTTCTAACCCCTTTCACATTCACAGGAGGGGGTAATTTTTCGATCACGTCAATTTTCGCTTTATCAACCTCAATGCCACGATTCGATACTACATGACCTAACACGACTCCACTAGTCACCATAAAGTGACTCTTCTCCCAACTCAAGGTCAAATTAGACTCAATACACCTTTCGAGCACACGAGATAAATTATGGAGACAATCAGAAAATGAAGTACCGAAAATAGAAAAGTCATCCATAAATACCTGTAGGCAGTCCTCGAGCATATCTGAGAAGATGGAGAACATGCACCTTTGGAAGGTCCCAGGTGCATTGCATAAGCCGAATGGCATCCGTCTGAAAGCAAAGGTGCCGAATGGGCATGTGAAGGTGGTCTTTGGCTGGTCCTCGGGTGCTATGGCTACTTGGTAATAGCCGGAGAGTCCGTCTAAGAAGCAATAAAACTGATGGCCCGAGAGACGGTCAAGGATTTGATCGATGAAGGGCAATGGGAAATGATCCTTCTTTGTTACGGCATTAAGGCGTCGGTAGTCTATGCACATTCTCCACCCGGTAGTGATTCGGGTGGGGACCATCTCCTTCTTCTCATTCTCTATCACCGTGATACCCCCTTTTTTCGGCACCACGTGGATCGGGCTGACCCACTCGCTGTCTGCCACTGGATAAATGAGCCCTTCTGAGTAGAGCTTCAGCACTTCCTTCTTTACTACCTCCATCATGTTCGGGTTGAGCCTCCGTTGGCTGTCCCGAAACGGCTTGGCACCTTCTTCTAAGATGATTCGGTGCATGCATGTTGAAGGGCTGATGCCTTTTATGTCTCCGAGGCTCCACCCTATAGCCTTGTGATTCTTCTTCAGCACCTCAATTAGCTCCTTCTCCTCATCACGGGAAAGCTCAGCAAAAATAATTACCGGCTTTTGCTTTTCGTCATCAAGGAACACATACTTGAGGTGACGGGGCAGCTCCTTCAATTCTAATGTGGCTGGAATCGGAGTGTGGTGTTCGTTAGCTGCAAAGAGCTCAATGGTTGGCTCTTCTTCATCGTCTAGATTGGGCATTGTCCTTTCTTCGTGGTCACGAATAGTCGTCTCCTCCACAAACGGGTCACTGATATCGACAAAAGCACACTCCTCCACAAAGTTCACTGAAGAGGTGGATATGGCTTCTCGGACTGAAATAGAAACGGACTCGCCCAAGACTGTCATATTCAATGTCCCGTTCTTGACATCAATTAGGGTGTTGGTGGTGGCCATAAATGGTCTGCCGAGAAGGATAGTGTGATCCTTCCCGTTCTCTTGCACGTCCCCCACATCTAGAACTACAAAGTCCACCGGGACGATAAGTTTCCCAACACGAACCAGGACATCTTCCACTACCCCTTTGGGGTATCTGATAGAACGGTCAGCAAGCTGAAGGCACATGCGGGTTGGCCTCAAGTCTCCCAAGCCGAGCCGCTGAAAGATAGAGAACGGCATGAGATTGATCCCAGCTCCAAGGTCCAGCATCCCTGAAGCTTCCTTTCCGTTTCCTAGGGCTATTTGGATCACGAAGCCTCCGGGATCTCGTTCTTTCTTCGGAAGGTCGTGCTGCATAGCACTCGCAGCCTCGTAAACCACTACCTTCTCCCCGTCTCCAAATTTCCTCTTCTTCGTCACTAGGTCTTTGAAGAACTTCACGTACGAGGG